TAACATTCTGTTGCTAACACTATCTGGTCCCACAGCTTTATTTGCATCGAGCGTGGAAACAATATCAAGTACATCTTGTTCACTAACAATTAATTGTGAAAGAAAATCATGACAGCGATCTTCAGATTCCGGTAAATCTTAACTAGCATCATCTAAATTAGAAATGGAACACAAATATTTAATGAAATTTCAGACTTTTCTGTTCCTTCATACACAAGGTTAAAGTTCTGATCCGGGTCTCTTAGCGGAGGAATATCATAAGTTGGTCTGTCGCTTTAAATTAGCATATTGATGGTCTTCCAATACTGTTTACTGTTTGGCACTTTCAGTTCATCCAGATTCTCGTTTATAGTCGCATAGAAATGCTTTTTAACCTGCTTTTTTAAATTATAATTAACTTTGTTCCTTTGTTGCCTATATTTATATTCAGCAGATATACTTCTTGAACGAATAAAACATTTTTCGAAGTCTGTCCCGTTTTCTCGTTTCCCGTCGCAAATTTGAATCAAACCAAACTTTATCATCAGATCTTATAGTTACTTCCTTTGTAGGTATACACGCAGATGCTATATTAATAAAAGTGTTAGTGAAGTTTGTAGCAGAAACATGAACATCACTTGCATCAGAAATTAAATTTTCCCAATTAGTATTAAGTACTTTTTGTTTCATTAAGTCATAATCCCCTCTTTTATAATCCCATATAGATCTAATATAATGTTCGGCTTTTACTAAAACCACAATCAATTATGTTAATTCCATCATGACCACTTATACCTCTATCAATAGGTACTAAAACTGGTATAGAATCTGTAATTAAAATAGGATCAAGTAGTGACGAGCTACTTGTTCGTGTGTCAAGTGCGTGGCTTTGTCAATTATGTAATCACGCCATTAATGAAAATAACATCTCTTATATTTGATGGTAGATCAGACATAAAATTTTTATTCAGATCACCTAAGCAAATTATACAATTATTTTCATCCAAGGCGTTTTTCAACATTTGATCAAAGTATTGCCAGAAATAAACTGTAGATTGCCTTTCCGACCTATGATTTATATTAATCAAAATAGATCGAAGTTTGGTCTTTAACTCAAAGCACATGCTCTCAATTTCATCATGCTCTAAATCTTGTCGACGGATTATGTGAACATAATTTTTAAAATTATGATAATGCCACCACCATGTGAATTTCTATCTTTTCGAACTGGTATTTAAAACACCATTATAATAGATATATCGTAATCAGTAATTTTAGAGTCTAAATGCGTTTCTGTGAAAAATACTACATCATAATCCTCAATAATATCGGCAATATAGTTCAGTTTATATCTAAGGCTTCTGATGTTGCAATGGAAAATTGACAATGTTTTCTCTGAATACTCTTGTGTGCGTTAAGGACCCGGGTTCGGTTCAATGTCACCACATATTATTAATAAACATAATAGCAATATATAAAAAGCAACTAAATTACTACAAGTTTTGTATAAATTGCGTATACATAGTTTAAATCTTAAGTTATCTGTATTAATTCTGCCAGCATATCGTTGAAGGAAAAACAATACCGGTAAACTGTTTTTCTCAAAAAAACCCAAACTAGACTTGTGCTAAAACAGTCCTATTGTTATCCTGTACGCTGCAATGTCATTACCTACCTATTGTCAAATACAATACAATAGAAAACGATAACAAAATAGGACTGCATTGTAAAACATGATACATAGTATGGACAAATATAATTCGAATGACCGTTCATGAATTTCCGAAGAAAAAAAAGTAAAGGAAAAAATAAAAATATGTACATGTGCAAAAGGCAATATTTTAACATCGTAAATATTCGATGTTGATATTGCAAATATCAGAGAGATGAATTTTTAACGAAGATTTTGTTTCAATGATACTTTATGTGTTATAAATCATATCAGTGCCGAAACACTGACTAAATAGATGATGAAACAGACATACATAAGTTATATTGGTCACCATCACGAATTGGTTGACAGATACGAAGCGTCAGTGTCGATAGCGATATGTTTCAGTCGTCTTATAGCTTAGATTCCAGTATAGTCGTCTAATCTGTAATTTATAGATTGTGTCCTATCCCCGATTGTGGCATTTTGACTGAGTGAGGTTTTTCATGGCGGGTGATACATGCATAGCAAAAGACGCTTGCCATGTGGACACACACTGTTTCACCCTTTAAAGAGTTCATGGGATTTTCTCATTTTTTGTGTTGTTACCTTTATTGTCTCTTCTGAAACGATTTACGAGATTTGAATATCGTATAACTACTGTCACCTTAATTTATACAATAATTTGTATTCCATATATTTTAGAACACGAACATGATATCTATTATGTGTTTTTGACATTGTGCCACAATGGCTATACCTTTTGATATAAAAAAAAAAAAACTTGTTTCCTAACAGATAACTTGAGGAAATATTTAGTTTGAAATTTAAAAAAACATTTGTGTGTAATACTACCAATTTTTATTTTCTATTATCCTACCGTGCATATTAAACCTCGATTAAAAAAAAAATTTTTTTGGTTGTGACAAGATGGCTATTCTTTTTGAAGTCATTGATGCACATATTTACAATACTAATGTTTCCTGCAAGAAAAACACCACGACCCAAATGTACCTTTTATACTAATAAAATTGAGAATGGAAATGGGGAATGTGTCAAAGAGACAACAACCCGACCATAGAGCAGACAACAGCCGAAGGCCACCAATGGGTCTTCAATGCAGCGAAAACTCCCGCACCCGGAGGCGTCCTTCAGCTGGCCCCTAAACAAATATGTATACTAGTTCAGTGATAATGGACGTCATACTAAACTCCAAATTATACACAAGAAACTTAAATTAAAGATGATACAAGACTAACAAAGGCCAGAGGCTCCTGACTTGGGACAGGCGCAAAAATGCGGCGGGGTTAAACATGTTTTTTGAGATCTCAACCCTCCCCCTATACCTCTAGCCAATGTAGAAAAAACAAACGCACAACAGTACGCACAGTAAAACTCAGTTTAAGAGTCTAAACATACATATCTCGGCTTTTCCAATTTTTCGATATATATTATGTAAAAAATGATCATACTTGCCAAGGTTTACGACGATCGAAGAAAACATGATATAAAGGCAACTTTTTGATTTTTTGTACACAAAAATGAAACGTTTTACATGGCGTTGATGCATGAAAATGAGGTACTCGAGTATCCTAACGTTTGGTATTTTGATTTTTAATTCTTATTTTTCACTATTTACAAGCTATTGTATTACCTTATCCAACACAGAATGACAATATTTTTATCGAGGTTACTAGTCAACGCATTGTTTCTAATAATAATCTATAGCAAAATGGAGATTGAACAAACATCCTATGCAAAATCTAGTACATAAAAAATAAAAATTCGCTTTGGGAAGACCGAAGCAATCTCTTTTGGTGTAAATTTCAACCGACTCTCACTGTCAATTTCTATGTGTAAGGCAACATATGAAGCATATTTAATGTATCTGTCATATCCTTTATTTAAAAACCATTGGGATAGATGCGCTCAAAATTGTCACCAAACTTTAAAATACTTAAGGAGAAGACATCAGTCATATAGCGGACTTAAAGTCTTACGTCCTTTATTCCACTTGTAAAGCGCTTGTATAAACCGTATCTTATGGATAAACTATTAAGTCGACGAGAAGACGATCAAAGTTGGATCCCATGGTAATGACGGTTGCCTATTGAAAAAAAAGTTAAAAAAAATATGTTTTATATTATATTCGTTAACTGTGCAAATTCCTTTTCTTTAATTTAGCTTTGGAACAACCAGTTAAGTTTACACATCAATAGACCAAAAACAATGATAGTATATGTTAAACATCCCATTAATTATTTTAGAATGTATGGAGATGAATGGTCAACATGATTAAGGCAACTTCCCCCCTCTCCCCCGAAAAACAAATTAAATGACATGAGGTAAACATACTCTCTTTTCCAATAGACACATTTTAATTCAATAAATCAAGTTCTAAATTGGTCCGAGTATTTTATGTCGTTTTTACAATTAATTATTCACTGTAATGTACATAAAGAACATACAAGTAAACCAGAACAGGAACAACACTTAAAATAACGGTTTAGTAGATAAAAACAAAATAAATAACAAATTATGTCGAATTTTTTAAGAAACAACCAGTTAATGAAAGCAAACTCAAAGTAAATCATAACGTACTTGACTTATCAATCTGATTAAAGTTCAGATCTATCTTAACTCGCGTGCTTATATATATATAATGATAACGGAATCACAGATCTATATTTAAATTAGATTGTTGACTTGGTATCGGTTGCTGTTTTCTAGGAAGATTAAATACACCAACGTCATTAACAGTACAGGACGACATGATATTGAGCAATGGCCAAAAAACAAACTAACGAGAAAAACTAAAGAAACATTTTAGTATTGCTTCAAACTCTAAATGATCCAATTAATATTCATCTTACAAAAATACGAGACTGATCAGTGATTGAACCACAACAGTATGATTGTATTGTTTATCAATACGTCTGTTAAGCTAGATAGATAGATTTGAACACAACTCTTAAAGTTTGAATTTATAAAACATAATAAACTATCTGCTGTCTGTATCTGTTTTACCTTGGCATCTACCATGGATACGACATAAACGTTTAAGGCATTTTACCGATTCAGGTTGATCAGATTGATTTTCTGTGGCTATGTTTGGGACAAATTCAGGAAACCAAATATATCAAACGTTTGAGAGCTTTAAAGACGTAAGGGCATGCACAAAACAGCCTACGCCGTCAAAGGTCAATTTGCGACAGGAAGTTGTAACCTTATAGTTATAGAACACTTACATGATATAAACTGGACATCTTCAGTCAAACTGAATCATTTAGGTCATAATTACCGACTACCTAAAAGATGGATAGTACCATCGGAGACTGACAGTTTGTTCTAAGATTTTTATCGTTTTCAGATTACACTGGAAAATTGAGGGAACACCTGATCGATGAGTTAGATTATCAGCTTGTACCACTGAATGCTTGGAATATACTTGTATCAAGCTATGGGCTAGTGGATGATCAGGTTATTATCATTTTTTATTTAATTATTTTTGAAACAAACCCAATGGATATCCATTTTTTCAATCTGGAATTAAAAAAAACCATCCACAATATTTTAAGTAACATATTACTGCAAAAAGTAAAAAAGCAAAAATACCGAACTGCAAGGAAAATTCAAAACGGAAAGTCCTTTATCAAATGGAAAAATCAAAAGTCAAACACAAAAAACGAATGGAAAACAACTGTCATATTCCTGACTTGGTACAGGCATTTCCTTATGTGGTAAATGATGGATTAAGCCTGGTTTTGTAGCTAGCTAAACCTCTCACTTGTATGACAATCGCATAGAATTCCATTATATTGACAACAATGTGTGAGCAAAACAAACAGGCATAATAAGTAAAATTGTCAAACATTGGGGTACAGCAGTCAACATTGTGTTGTAATCTTAATCACTATAAAAACAAATAATATTTCAAAGAAAACAAAATGGCATATAGACACTAAGTTGCATCTCTTTACAGTTTTGTATATGTGATTAAATTTATTAAACGTTTTGACCAATTTATGATATCTTGATCCCTGCTGTAAAAGTTTTACTAATGAAAATATTACTTTTATTGAAATCGGAGACGACTCTGCAAACGCGCGAATGTAGAACCTATTAAATTTAGAAATGAAAGTTCCATAAGAAGGGGCCATCAAAACACCAAGAAAAGAAAAGGTCGTCTTGTTTACTATAAATGTGGTTTGAAAAATACATTCAGAAATACTAATGATCAAAGTCTTAAAATACACCAGACCTTATTAATATTTGATAAAGGATAACTTTAGGATGATAAATTTCATCGTCTAAATACTTACAGATATTTTGAAAAAAATATTTTTCTACAGGTATTTCGTTGGGTCTGTATGGTTCTCTAAAAAAGAGTAATAATTAGCCACATTGGAATACCAATCCTTTGTGGGTATATTTTATCTCCAAATTTGATCATATTATTAAGCAAAATAACTAATACTCCATTGATTTTTTGCATTTTCAATAAATGTATTTTTGTGCATTTAATAACCGTAAGGACTATTGCATATGTTGTTTTATGAACTTGTTTGTCTTTTCGTCTATTTAAGGGTTTTCCATGGCGTTGTCATATTCTCTTCGACTTTTGAGTTTTGAATGTCCTCTTGGTATCTTCCGATAAACGCATTTTTGTCTCGCCTGCGACGAAAGTCAAAGAATGCGATACATAGGGATTACTATCCGGCGGAGGCGGTGATGTAAACTATTTGTATTAAGCTTTATATTTCAAAAGGCAGAATACCTGGATGTTCATACCTTGTATGCAGATGCCTTATGTGATGGAGTTTCCGTCTGTCATATGTTCATTGTCCTTGACCTCATTTTATGGTTCAGCAACTGATTGGGAAAAAAATGTTGTCATGTGAAAAACTCACTTATAATGAGTAACAGGATAACTATATTTGTTTTAAAGGATGTGAGTTCACCTGACCTCGACCCCATTTCATGGATCAATGATCAAGGTTAAGTTTTCGTGTTCAAGTCCGTATCTCAGATACTATAAGCAATTGGTCATCTATATTGTGTGTATGGAATGATTATAAGGTGTGCATGTCCAACTGGCACGTTTCATCTGACCTAGACCTCATTTTCATGGTTCATTGGTCAATGTTAAACTTTTGTGGTTTGATCTGTTTCTCGGATACTATAAGCAATAGATCAGCTGTGTTTGGTGTATGATATGATTGTATGGTGTACATGTCTGGCAGGCTTCATCTGACCTTGACCTTTTTCATGGTTCATTGGACTATATTACGTTTTTGCAGTTTGGTCTATTTCTTAGATACTATAAACAATAGGGCCACTATACTTGGTGTATGGAATTATTGTAAGGTGTATATGGCAGGTTTCATATGACATTGTCCTCATTTTCATGATTCATTAATCAATGTTAAGTTTACATGAGTATGTCTGTTTCTCAGATACTATTAGCAATAGGTCAATTATATTTGGTGAATGGAATGATTGCAATGCCATGGTGTACATGTTGTCTGAAAGGGTTGATCTGACCCTGACCTCATTGCATGGTTCATTGGCCAATGTCAATTGTTAATGATGATGTCTGTTTCTCAGATTCTATAATAATAAGTCAACTATATTTGGTTTTGGAATGATTGCATGGTGTACATGTTGTCTGGCAGGGTTCATCTGACCCTGACCTCATTTTCATGGTTCATTGGTCAATGTTAACATTTCATGATTAAGTCTTTTTCTCAAATACTTAAGGCAATATGTCAACTATATTTGGTGTATGAAATGATTGCATTGTGTGCATGTTGTCTGGCAGGGCTCATCTGACTTTAACCTCATTTTTATGGTTCATTGGTCAATATTCCGTTTCTTGGCAGTTTATCTGCAATATGCTAGCACAACAGATTAGTTTTTTTGACTCCGGAATACTGAAATGGGTACCATTGTCCTTATCTAGCAGGCTGGTAGGATATTTATAACTAATTGGACATTTTTTTTCATGCTTTTTATTTTGGAACACAAAACATATGTCAAGAATAACCTTAAATGATCGTCGAACAACCAAAATTAATGACGTTGCACATAAGAATAGTGCTCAGTGGAAAGTCTCACATTGTTTTTTTTTATCTTCTGTGCTTTTGATAAAGATGTTAAAGAATATTTCATCGCCGAAAATTTCTATTACAAGTCGTTTACATTTGCCAAATGGCAATAGGCGCATGAATATTGTTTGGCGGTCATTTTAACCTAGAAGACGAATCAAGGATGTATAACTAACGTTTTGCTGTGAATGTGATACTATATTTAGATGCAAGTTTGTTTTCTTGCGTGTCGTTTAAACGTTATGATATGTGGCAGTCATACATTGATCATTTAATGCGAGGTATTCAATTTTCATTCCTTCCTATAATATTATTCTGTTTTGTTACATAACTGACCCTGTCAAATCAAGTTGTTGCTTCGCACCACGGTGCGGAGCTATTAGTTTCAGTCGATATACACGCCATCTTGAAATACTTACTTATCACATATAGATTCTGATTGGTTGCTTTATGATGCGACTGAGATACAGCAACAGCTATTGGCTTAAATGAGATAAAAAATTACGGAGTTTTCTCGTCTCAGGATAAGACATCAAATGCCGGGAAATAAACTATGTGTATTTCAATTCCGATCAGCTGTCATTAATTCTTGTTCGTTTTATTATGCATATATTGCATACTGCAATTCAATATTGAAATATCAATTATTGATACGTGTTTATTTGCTTTGTTAATCTGCAATATGCACGATTTTTTTTGCTTAACAATGTTCCTATACAATGTTTACAAAATGCATTATCTGTATTTGATAACTTCTGCCAATCTAGGCACACCTCCAGAGAGGCACACCTCCAGAGTTGTGTCTATTTGTAAATGTTTTAATTTTCAACAAGTAAAGTGAAAAAAAATTTAAAGCATGGGTGTATAACGCACAACACTGAGCAGCCAGTTTAAAATTTCAGAAAAGTTCATCTTAATATATATATATACAAAATTGCAATTGGAAGCCACACGATTTAATGGCTTCTGAGGTCAAGACATTTGTCACGTGACAAAAGGTCAGAGTTAACGTTTTTTTCAACGAGTATGCCTAGTGGTTTGTTTACCTCGTATCGTCGTATTTTTACTCGAACATAAATAAAACTTGAAGTGTTGAAATCTTGGGGTGAATAAGCTTCATTATATCTTACATTTTTGCTAAAAGTGTTATTGAAGTATTAAAAAATTGCGAATGAAGTGAAACTTTTTTTCTGAAAATTTGCGTAGGTGCACGGATCATCCGAATTATACTCTAAATAGCTAAGGTAACGCATAGAGGGGCACAAAATTTGAAGTAAAACCATTTTTGGTTCAAATTTTATTTATTTTTTACCCCAAATTTACCGGTCAAGCAATTGTGTCAGCCTATTCGTGGTGATCGAAGAGAGATAATTCCATACACGCAGCGTAGGGAGTGTTCGTTCAGTAAAACAGTAAATTCGAGTTAAAGTAAATTGATTGCAGTTATATTTCGGAACTATCTTAAATAATTATTCCATATTTTATATTCCTTCACATTTGCAACAACAAGTAGTCATGGAATGGTTGAATATTGCATTTTTTCAGGTAATTACAGGTTTTTGAAAACTTCCCATTATAAGAAAATTATTGAAAACTTGCTTTCCTCTAAGCATTGCTTTCCACTGTCAAACACATTTTCGATAGATCGAAAGATACAAGTTTCATTTTCTTGGAATACATATTCTTAGAAAGTATATGCAAATAAACTTTTTTGTATGTAGCTTGTTAAAACTAATTGATTTTGAACATATTTTGTATATTAATTTCATTATAAATTTAGTCTTCAATTTAATTAATTATATTAAAAAAAGTATCTAAAATAGAACGTTTTTACTCCGACTCATAAAGAACTGTGCACCAATAACGTATTGTTCTTAGTCTATCTTAGTTGTTAAAATTTGACTTGGCAAATTCAACCCCCTTTTATAGCCCCTGCAAATAAAATTAGGGGGTATATAGGAATCACCTTATCTGCCTGTCCGTTCCGTCTCAATTTGTGTCTGGTGCATAACTTTAGTACCATTGCACTAAGCTATATATTTATATATAGAGGTGGATAGAAACTTTGTACGCAGATATTATTATGGGCTAGGGAAATGGGAAGTTGACAATGGGAAAGTTGAAAACATCGCGTTATTTATGAATCTAGTTTGAAGTTGTCCATCTGTGTTAATATCGAGGAATAAATCAAAGTATAAAGCAGACCTTCTAGTTTATGTAGCATCCTTAATCATAAGTTCACTATGCTATAGGTGATGCAAGCACCCAGTTAAACAGTAAGTTTGTAGTACTATTGTTCTCTTTTCTCATTTCTAAAGACTGTCTTATAAAGAATGTAGCTGTATAAATACATGTATCACTTGTTGTCTACTGAACGTTTATCAACGTTGGTTAAGTTATTAAAAATAATCTTCTACAGTTATCGGATGCATAATTGTTCTTCTCTTGGCAATTTGAATATCTGCCATTTCCATTTAATATTGAACCGTTGTCGTCCGTATGTCATAAGCATTTCTCTCAATAACTTAAGTATGCTTTAACGAATCCTATCCACATTTTACACCAAATAAAATTATATGTTAGATGATAATTAAAGCTTCAACGAATCTTCTGGTTTTTTTTTCGATTTTTTACACTGTCACAGTAGCGAAAGAAAGTTCCCTTTCGATTTTGATGATTTTCAGAGTAATCGTGCCATAGTTATCGATCTTTCATATTATAAAACCCATAATTCATATATCTAATAATAACTCAAGTCTTCTTAAACGAAACCTTATTCTTTTTTCACTATGCTTAGCTTCATTAAGACCAGCGATTTTGACATTTTTTTAATGTCGTTCAAAGTAATATGTGGTTTAAAAGTATGCATCATATGTCTAGTGATAACTATAGTTTGCCATCACAGATTCACAACAAATGAACGCCCATATGTATTTTTTAAGCTTACGACAGAAAATGACACAACTTTGTTTAAAGTATCTGCATGTTTGATGCTAGAATTAAGGATGTGGAATCTTAGTGCATGTGTCATGACAACAATGCGCAGATTTTTCTACGTACCTTTAATTATTGTTTTCTGTTTGGTATTAAATTGATAATTAAGATCCATTTTGTTACATCTGGTGATCCGTTTATTTGGCAATCGCCATGGTAGTTAGCAGGGTTTAAGATTATCCGTTGTTCGACCTGCTAGTCAAATGCGTTTTGTTAGAATATACTTTTTCACTTTTTTGGTCTTTTGGAAAATGTTGTTTGAACAATATATATATATATATATATAAACATAATTATAACAAAAAATAATACACCTATATATAAAAATAAGGAGATGTGGTATTAATGCCAATGAGACAACTATCCACCAAAGTTCAAATGAAGTGGATGTAAGCAATTATATGAAACCGTACGGCCTTCAACAATGAGAAAAACCCATACCATATGGTCGGCTTTAAAAGGCCCCGACATGAAAAATATGAAACAATTCCATTGAGAAAACTAACGGCCTCAATTATACAAAAAACAATTTACGAAAAACAAATATGACAGACATGAACCAAAGATAACCACTGAACTACAGGCTCCTGACTTGGGATAGGCGCATAAAGAATGTGGCGGGGTTAAGCATGTTTGTGAGCGCTCAACCTATCCCCTAACCTGGAACAGTGGTGTTACAGTACAACCTAAGAACAAACTATAAAAATCAGTTGAAAAAGGCTTAACTCATCAGATTGATACAAATAGAAATACATTTAACACTGAAAAACACAGAGTGGACGTGGACGGTTACTTATACATCCCCACAACAAAAAGACACTAAGTACAGATCTGAGAGTACTCGCAGTTACTGACAGCTAGTTCAAAGCCAATAACAACTAATATCAAAGTACTGAAGTACTGAACATCGGATGACCACAAGTTATTGAGGATGGTCAAAAGCACTTGTCTCAGAAAAAAACAACATATCTCTTTACCTGAAACTGAGGTTAATGTACAGAGATATATTTTTTTCTGAGACATGTTCGTGCGTGGATGATGAATAAATGACAGGAAATTCAACTTCACCGTAATAACTATTATATTGTAGAGATACAAATCAGTATACACTGATTTAATTTGTTGTTATATATTATATTAAGATAACAGTTACATATATATATATGATTTGCATCCATTTGTATATCATTCTATTCTACTATTCTAATAATAGTGCAATGCAAGTGCATGGTGGACACTTTTCTGTAAAAAATTTATTTTTCTAAGATTGGATACGAGTAGGCATTCATATTTTCCCGCAAAAACAATTACAGAGTTACCGGTCCTTGCCGGTATTGTCGCAAAACGTTCTTTGAGATATTCTTCCGCATGCTTTAACACAATTTTTCGGTACGTGTGCATTGATATTATCAATGATTTTTTACTTATATATATATATATCTAACTACAAAACATTTTCATATTATTAATGTATGTTGTAAGCAAAAATATTTTTATCAGTATTCATTGAAGAGATGTATTTATATCAAACGATAAGGAATGTTATTTTGCACTCGTTTATGTGCGCATATTTATCATGTTTATAGATCGGTTACAACCCAAAACTATTTACATAATGGAAATCTAGGCGATAGCAATACATCGGAATGACCTCAAGGTCATCGCGATGTAAAAAAACAATCATGTATCTAAGACTAAAATATCAATCAGTTCATATCCAACATCAAATGGATTTAGTGTAAAGACGTCATTAACAGTCATGTTACAATTACACTCTGTTAGAAATATAATGACTTGTAAGTATTTGAATGCAGATACAGTTTTTGATTTACTAACTTCACTGGATAGTGAATTCCACACTTTTGGACCGCTAAAAGAAAAACCAATTAAATTTGTATAATTCTATATTTGATTTAGGAACAATAAAATTATCTGATGATGAAAGTCGAGTATTGTATGATTGTTTACTATTTGTAGGCACAAATAGATTTGATAAATATTTTGGTGCCAGTTCATGTTTTGATTTATACATTAATAATGACTTGTGGTAAAGTATTCTTTTAGTAACAGGAATAATTCCAGATTCCTTAAATAGTTCAATAGATGGTTTACAAATATCGTGATCGTTTAAAATAATTCTAGCTGCCCTTTTTTGCAATTTTAGTGAACTGTCAATTAAATTAAAACTTGTTACAGTTTCCCCGTACTGAACAACAACAATAATCCAAATGTGGAAGAATATATATAAGCATTGTAAAATAAAATTCGTGCATTATGATTCAAGTATTTCTTGATTCGTTTTAGTAACGATAATGAATAATTGGCTTTTTTTTATAATTAATATGATCATACCATGACAGAGTTGCGTCAACAAAAATACCAAGGACCTTTTCACAGTGACTTGCATTAATATGTTGGCCATTAATGGATATATTTAATGTGTCATCCTATACACATTAATAATAATAATAATAAATACATTGTCTTTGTTTTAACACATTTACTAACATTTTGTTTTTATCACACCAATGACAAATATTTTCTAATAAAGTATCGAGTTTTTTTACTTATGTACCTTTTGTCTTTTCCAATATGACTGTTGTGGCGTTGTAACACCATACAGGAAGTATTTTTATGCCCCACCTACGATATTTGTATCGGCATTATGTTTTCTGGTTTGTGCGTCCGTTCGTTCGTCCGTCCGTTCGTCCTTCCGTCCGTCTGTCCCGCTTCTGGTTAAAGTTTTTGGTCAAGGTAGTTTTTGATGAAGTTGAAGTCCAATCAACTTGAAACTTAGTACAAATGTTCCCTATGATATGATCTTTCTAATTTTAATGCTAAATTAGAGTTTTTACCCCAATTTCACGGTCCACTGAACATAGAAAATAATTATAGTGCGAGTTGGGCATCAGTGTACTATGGACACATTCTTGTTTTAATTATTTTATTTTTCTTGAATTATAGATATTTAAATATGTTTAAAAAATAATTTGTAAAATAACCACCTTTCAATTTGTGGGGTAAAAACGTCCTGTTCTGACGTCCCTTTTCAATTAAAAATGAAATTTACACCTACATCATTGTATAAATATAAACACAGAGAATATACATGTCGTGTTATCTATATCTTTTCTTGTAGATACCAATAGAACGTTTTGTTATAGAACAGGGAATGTTTGTAAAGCACCGTAAAGTAGAAGTATATCTTTTAGAGGTAAAGATGTGTCAAAAACAGTTCCAATCTGAAAATGTCATTAGATCTATGAGTCGAGCTGATGTATTAGGTGAGCTTTCGCATTGCATAATTTAACATGGTGTTTTTTGTTTTACTTAGCAAAGTTTTGATTGGTATGCCACATGGGTGCTTGTTTACAGTTATGTAATGTCATACAAGTTAGAAATATGAAGAGTTGCATGTTCCTGAATGCTTATCATCAATATTTACGTTTAATGTTAAGCACGAATAAATGAAGATAAGACCTTTTGTATAATAAAATTGAGAATGGAAATGGGGAATGTGTCAAAGAGACAACAACCCGACCAAAGAGCAGAAAACAGCCGAAGGCCACCGATGGGTCTTAATGTTTATTTAAGTAGGAATCACGGGTATTTTTACATTACTAAAATATATTAAAATATATTGTGTAGAATTTTGGAAGTGTATCTTGTAGTATGTTTGAAATAGATGTGAACGCAAGTGGATAGGTGGGGCTGGCTTTAGTCAGACTGCCTCGGAGTCATAATAATGTGTCGGGGTATAGTGACATGCCTTCCTGTGGACTGTTACCTTGTGAACTACCACGTTAAAATCCGACTTAGCGTGTCGGTCTAGTAAGTTTTACCCTTGTCCGTCTGTATGTACGAACGTACGTCCCAAAATTGGTTTCCGTTCTCTAACTTGAGTTTGCCTCAACCAAATGTTATGAAACTTATACACAATGCTTATTACTACAAAATACAGATCAAATTTGAATTTTTATGGCGTCACTTTAACCGTTCTAGAGTTATGCCCCTTTATAAATGGAAAAATTGCAAAATATTTAGTTTCCGTTCTCTAACTTAAGTTAGCCTCAACCAAATGTTATGAAACTTATACACAATGCTTATTACCACAAAACACAGATCAAGTTTGAATTTTGGTGGTGTCACTTTAACCGTTCTAGAGTTATCATGCCCCTTTATAAATGGAAAAATTGCAAAATTTTTAGTTTCCGTTCTCTAACTTAAGTTAGCCTCAACCAAATGTTATGAAACTTATACACAATGCTTATTACCACAAAAAACAGATCAAGTTTGAATTTTGGTGGCGTCACTTCAACCGTTCTAGAGTTATGCCCCTTTATAAATGGACAAATTGCAAAATTTTTATTTTCTTCTAAATATCAAGTAATTTTTAAAATTGGAGTTATCTTCCTTTGTCCATGATTATAGTTGAATCAACTACAATCAATGCTTTATACAATGCAATGTTTAATTTTGACTTCCACTGATAAAACACTGATCAAGTTGAATTTGGGTAGTGTCACTTTAACCATTATTGAGTTATGCCCCTTTATAAATCGAAAGATTGCAAAATTTTTAGTTTCCATTCTGTAACTTAAGTTTGCCCCAACCAAACATTATGAAACCTATACACAATATTCATTACCACAAAACTAAGATCAAGTACAAATTTTTTGTTTCCGTTTTCTAACTTTAGTTTGCCTCAACCAAATGTTATGAAACTTATACACAATACTTATTACTACATAATACAGATTATGTACGAAATTTGGTGGCGACACTTTTACCATTCTTCAGTTATGTTCCTTTATAAACATAAAAATTGCTGAATTTTTCGTTTCTGTTCTCTAACTTTAGTTTGTCTCAACCAAATGTTATAAAACTTATACACAACCGTTCTAGAGTTATGCGTGTTTACAAATAGAAAAATTGCTGAATTTTTAGTTTCTGTTCTCTTCTTAAGTTAGCCTCAACCAAATGTTATGAGACTTACACACAATGCTTATTACCACAAAACTTAGATCAAGTTCAAATATGGGTAGCGTCACTTTTACCGTTCTTCAGTTATGTCCCTTTATAACTATATGATATGCAAGCGGGGACACTATCCACATTTATTTCATATATTGATAATCCTTCCCAAATGTTAAATTTTGAAAACATGCACGGTGACATATACCTTTAATTTTATTTGAAAATATAACATACTGTAAAAATATATACTACTTCTTTGCAATAGTGTTGCCGCGAAAAAAACCTTCCTTTTGTTAAATATAGTTAAAATCATAGTACAGCAAATTTTGAGCCCTTCACTGTTTTATTTGTAGGTGATGTACTTGAAACAATACAAGTAATATTTGATGTACCTATTGATGTGGAAATAAAATTATACTACAAATGTATGTCAAACACTCTTGAACAGTTAACAAAAATGGAATCGACTTTACAGGAAGCAGCTGTATATCAAGGACAGGTATTCCCTCTTATTCTTTTTAATATGTGTGCTTTTATTAATTACTTAGGGTGTTCTCAATAACCTTTAAATATACTTGGCTGAAAGGATATCGCCAATTTTGGAAAAAAGTTGTATCTAATTACTATATGAACCAGCCAATTTCAAATTTTAGTAAAATTTCTAAATGTACATTATAATTTATGTTAGATACTGAGATAGATAACTGTACACTTAAGTTCGCATGTTGAACACCTAAATTTAACGATCATGTATAGAGAGATAGCTCACAAACGTAGATATTTTTTTTTCTCTTGTGTGTTTTACCGTCTTTCAAGTCTGTACAACCTTGATCCGGTAAGACAAAAATGGCACTGTGGCAAATAAATTACCGATATCATAATGCCTAACTGACCTTCCAATCACAGCAACTGAAATAAACGTTATTTTTCCAAGAGACAGTTTAACCAACTTATGGGTTCAATCTTTAACTACCTGGCTGAGTATCGTCCACCAATGTGAGACATTTTCATTTGCTTTTGTTATTGTTTTAGAAACAGAATATTATTAATTTCGGAAGTTAGGTTTATCCGATGAATCTAAAGGTAATTTCAAATGTCTAATTTATATTTTGATATTTTTGTTCGTGCATAATTTGTATAGACCAGGCAGATACACATAATCTAATCTTACACAACGCAAAGGCCAAGCTGTTTCCTTGCATATGTATGGGGAAAAAAATAGAAAACGGACAGTTGGTTAACAAAAAAAATACATACAAAAGAGAACGTAGTAATCTGGTCGGACAATCCAGATATCCTCATAGAACCATGTTTTAGAACTTAATATTTATAAATAACTCGTGTGCCGTAAAACAAAGTAGTCCGTCGAATGTCGAACTGAATTCTGAAGAAAAAATCTGTGATTTCTTGTCCAATTTTTGCTGTTATGTTGGGTCCTTTTCGATTGTATCCTCTCAAGTACATTTTGGCATATTTATGATATAACTGTTATAATCCAGATATATAGATATCTATAATCCTAGCTCTTAAAAGACAAGACTATATCATCTTATTCATTTATCAATGAAGTAAACATAGTTATGAATGGATTGATAATTTCTAGTATTTTTGTCGAGCTTGCGACTTTTGTTGCAGAAAGCTCGACATTGGGATAGTGATCCGGCGGCGGCGGCGGCGGCGTTAACTAACTTTTTAAAAGCTTGATATTTCAGAAGGTAGACGACCTGGATGCTTTATACTTTGTATATAGATGCCTTATGATAGGAAGTTTCCGTCTGTCATATGTCCATTGTCCTTGACCTTCACTTTCATGGTTAAGTGACTACTTGAAAAAAAAAAATTTTGTAATGTTAATTTCTCTCTTATTATGAGTAATAGCATAACTATATTTGGTATGTGCGTACCTTGCAAGGTCTTCATGCCTGTCAGACAGGTTTTCACTTGATCTCGACCTCATTTCATGGATCAGTGAACAAGGTTAAGTTTTCGTGGTCAAGTCCATATCTCAGATACTATAAGCAATCGGTCTACTATAATTGGTGTATGTAATGATTGTAAGGTGTACATGTCTAACTGGCAGGTGTCATCTGACCTCGACCTCATTTTCATGGTTCAGTGGTAATATTTTGTTTTTGTGTTTGAGTCTGTTTTTCTAATACTGTATGCAATAGGTCAACTATATTTGGTGTATGGAAATATTTTACGATGTACATGTCAGTCTGTTCTTTAAACTTTTAGCAATAGGTCAACTATATTTGGTTATGGAATGATTTTAAGGTGTACATGTCTGTCTGGCAGGCTAGGGTTCATCTGACCTTGACTTCATTTTCATGGTTCATTGTTCAATATAGAATTTCCATGGTTTGGTCTGTTTCTTTTATACTATAAGCAATAGGTCATCTATATTCTGTGTATGAAATGATTGTATTAAAGTAGTACATGTATTTCCGGCTTGGTTTATCTTACCTTGACCTCATTTTCTTGGATCATAAATGTTAATGTGATACTTGTTGTAAAACTTTATATGTAGGACTATCAACATAAAATCAATAGTCAGTATATAGTAGGCGAGACATTTCAGCGTGTTCACTCTTTTTATAATTTCAGGGGCAAAACGATGACTCTTATCAAACATCCTCCTTGTGCGATCGTTAGTCATGGTACAATCAAATTCCGCGAAGATATAAAACAGCTTTGATTAACGAGAGAATTTTGCACTTTTAATTTCCTCAGTTGCATCAATCTGACGGAAAAAAACCCACTTTTTATGACGTTTCTCCTAATAAAAGGATGATTTTATTGCCTTTGAATGGATGAAAAATTTGAACTTCTACCATTCGTGTTATTCAAATATTTATTAGAGAAATTACGATAAGAAAGTAAATGGTACAATCAAGCTCGTCATTAAATTCGCTGGCGAACGCAATACTTATACCCTTACAATTTTAGATGGATGTTTAGACAAAATTAAATACTATATTAATCATAATAAAACTATATCGTGGAAACCTCTGAGACTATGTAAGTTGGGTGCTTTAACAAAGCAAGTTATCACCTATCAAGTCGAGATGTCAGATCCCAAATCAATTAAGGTACACTAAATATCCTAAAATTTCCTAAGCTATTTCATCATTTTCCTGGACATATTTTACTTTAAATTAAGTGTTATCATAACTTATTTCCGGAGTTTTGCCTACTTTTAAAAGAAAAAGCACATACGTGTTTTCTTTATCTTTTATTTTGCTTACAGAGAACTAGCTGAAGATTACTCCCCAACAACATGCTTAAAGGTGGTTGTACGATAAGAGTAATCTGTGGGCTCCTAAAATAGCAAATATATAAGCATTAAGTGTGTGTATGGAATATCTGTGTCACACTCCATGTCACAGATGACCACGAATATGTTCCAATGGTCGAAACCACTATTTAGTCCTCTTTTCCTCGATTGTGAAATCACCGAATGAGACTTATCCCCCATTTTGTATCTACGCTTTTTTTTGTCATTGTCAGGTCCTATATGTACTGTTCGCACATTTTCTGACGCAGTCGGTATAGTTTCGAATTGATAACCTTTGACCTTAAAGATGCTAAAATATTGTAACAGCCTGAGCGTTGTCACTGATCTTTTCTTTGATTGTACAAAAATAATGTCATTGTTGAAGTTCAAACAAACGTATATTCAAACATAAACAATAATTTCTGAGTTAATATTAAGATTTTTCGGAAATGTACAGCAGGTGCTAGTTTTAAGAATATTTATCTCAGATAAAATATATCTTATAACAACGGTGCAATTTCAAAATGTGTCTTTGATAAATAGCCTTTACAAGAAAAGAAAATATTTACCAGCGGAAAATTTCAATTTTTAATATAAACTATACTATAATGCATCCATCCATGCTGTATTTGCGCGGGTTTTAGAGAACGTAAACATTCAGACCAACAAAAAGATACACGTACGTTATAAAAGTAGATAATTTTACAGACGGAAAAGTTTATGATGTAAAGATTCAGCTAAACATAATGAAGGTATTGAAATGGTCATTATCACCATTGCAAAACTGTTTTGAAATTGCAGGTTTTCAGGTCATATCCATCGCACAGGTAAATCTTGGTTTTATTTTAAGATTCAATAAATCTACAATTAAACTTATATAGGTCAATTTGGCTTTATTAACTCCAGTTCAATAGCAAAATATTTTCCATTGGTACTTTTCTAGGTAAACTATAGTTTCCATATTAGTAATCGATAATTCCAATTGTCGGAACCACAATCCCGTCCTCTTTTATTCGATTATGACATCACCGAATGAGAATTATTTCCGAATTAGTACTTTCATAAACAACACGAAGGGATTGATATGCGGAGAAGGATCTACTTGACTTTAGGAGCACCTGAGATTACCCCTAGTTTTTGGTGTGGTTTGTGTTGCTTAGTGTTAAGTTTTCTATTTTGTGTTTTATAGACTGTTATATGTTTTTTTGTCTTTTATCGTTTTTTGCAATGGCGTTCTCAGTTTGTTTTCGACTTATGAGTTTGAATATCCCTGTGGTATTCTTTCGCCTCTCATCTAATACAATTCATTGGTAGCCTTCGGCTGTTATCTGCTCTTTGGTCGGGTTGTTGTCTCTTTGACATATTCCCCATTTCCGTTCTCAATTTTATGGTATCTTGCAAGTACAGTCAAAATTTGGTAGGTATAATTCCGAATCAATAGATGAATATATCCGAGTTCAAAAAATTAAACTTGAAATAAAGAGTGTCAAAATATAAATAGCAAATTTAATTACCTGTCATAATATGTGTTATGTATCACCTCCCTTTGACGCCCATCCGTTATAAACACCGAAAGAGTTTGCGTCTCTAATTGTTTGATGTATCCTTGTACATGTATAGTTATGATTGATATTTCTTTCCGGTTCTGAACCGATTTTTTTTACAATGTGTTACATTGTATATATTTTATTTTATCTTAATTTCATAGGCTCTTGTTCCTTTCAACCTACTTTAATCCCTTAAAAATTTTAAGGGATTAAAGTAGGTTGAAAGGAACAAGTGCCTTTTAAGGGATAAAAGTAGGTTGAAAGGAACAAGTGCCTATGAAATTAAGATAAAATAAAATATATACATGTAACACCTTGAAAAAAAAACCAAATATACATATATTCTGTTAGTTAACTATTTAAGGCTTAAATAGTTAACTAACAGAATATATGTATATTTGTTTAGAGACAAATGCGTGTGCTCAATTTTCAGAATTGTCAGACTTTTGACGTCAACTTAGTACAATTAGATATGATGAAAAAGACATAAAAATTGATGGTATAATAATTTGCCTTCATCTGTAGTCGTCGGGTATCTTTTTTAAAGATGGATTTCAATCCGTTCCAATTTATAGTAAATCTACTGATTAATGAATAGGGTTGTATAAGTTTGACACTTCAGTTAAAAAAAGTCCATTTACATGTCACCATGACGTCATACATGCTGAAATTGTCGTATTGCACCTAAAATGCAATTTTACACTTGTTTTTTGTATAAGAAATCTTGAAGCAAAAATTGTTTTTGTGTATACCATTGACTCATATTTTAATATTAATTAAAAGATCTAAAAATGATACTATATTAGCTAGGTTTGCCGTTTTTGCATGATATATAAGAAGTTTGGTGACCAAAAGCAAATATGTAAGACACAATGTAAAAGTTTAAATACTGATATCTGACAGAAATTCTCTCATCTGAACATTTGAAGGATCGATTTGATTTGAAACAATTTTATTACAAAAACATTTTTGTATAGAAGATTCCCAAAAGTGACCTTATCGTGCCTTTTCCTGAAAACAAAATGTCCAATTTAAAATAAACTCTGCATAAGAATCTTTACATTTTTTATATTTGTATTTACTTTATTACATTTTGAGTGTTTATGCACATGTCGATGAACAATATTCTCTTTTTGTTTTGGTAAAACTGTGAACTCTAATTTTAAGGTCTACAAATATCAAATTGTTTCTAAATTGTTACTTTCTTATTATCTTCAGTGTATAATGCAGGGGAACTTTCCATCAACTTTTAAATGTTTTTTTGTTCAATATTTGACTATCGTTATCTATTTTTGTGTGGAAATTTGTGTTGAAATACCAATAAAGTAATAGATAATAATGCATATTTATAGCAATTTATTTCTTACAGTCAACATTCACCATGTGTCTCATAAATGAGTTTATCTCGTTTAGAGCTTCATATTGAAACTATAGCATTTATAAAGAAGTCGATGAAATTGAATGTATATAGTACAAATAATTATGGCATAATTGATAGCAGTACAGTAGTAGAGGACAGTGTAGTGCATTAATAATACCGTGCTTCATTTGGAGTTCATGCTATTCCATCAGTAATTGTTTGTTCATTTGATTTGTCTTCTTAACCCTCTTGCTGCCGCTAATTTTATATGGTTGCATTTCGTGTGCCAGAAAATACGACAGCTAGACGTTTGTGACGTCACATGCCCAACGTCGAGGACGTCGTTCGACATATGACGTCATGCCCTAATGACGTAACATTCGGGACCAATTGAAAAAAATATTATACGGTTTAATCTTCAGAAATTGTTTTTAAATAGATACAATAATGATTAGAAGCTTGCATACTAGTTGTTTAACATATGGAAATATGTGTCCCTAAGGAGCAAGAGGGTTAATCGATTTATGAGATTTTAACATCGGTATACTATTGTTATCTATATATAATATCAGCAGATAATACAAATCAGAATAATAGCATATTTTTTTTTACTTTATTTCTAATTTCTCATATTTTGCTTTGATCAATTTTGGGTTTTTCTCAGCCTAGTAAAAGAGAATGTATGGCGTCGTGAGCCTACGTCATTGAAGTTGCCAAGGAAAACTGTGATAAACAGATTATCAATGGTCTTTATAACTCGAAGATGTTTTTCAGCTACATCTCATTTCCTTTGAAGTGATGGTAGCTGTGAAACACCCTCTCTTTTCAAAAACCATTGATAATCTATTAGTATTTTCCTATTATAAGTCTCCGTAGCAGCAACATGAGATAAAAATGCAAGTTAAACTTAACGTCTGTAATTGAACTATCGCATATAGTATAAAGTATTTGTAGTGGGCGATGAAGCATATTTCATAGCTTAATTTTATCTCGTGAAATATGTTTAATATTCATTACAAATGTGTTACACTAATTGCAGAAAAGACCTATATATTTTTGGAATTATGAATAGTGTCCCTTCTCTAAAACCTACGATACATATATTACACATCAATAAAGTATTTACTCCAATGTAGGTTGTTCAACAATTTCTGCTTTTTTATTAACATAAATATATGTTTTGTTATAAAGCACATGTTAATTAAATATAGTCGTTCTATTTTTATCAGGTTATATCATTTGATGCCTACAAAGACGGAAAGCTCGTGCTAACACCCTACAAACCTGTAAGGTATGTTATATCTTATTGAAGTTCGGAAACTCCTTATATTTTACGCAATTCTTCTTTTAACGCCATTTTTATTGGAATTGTTTTAAAAGAAAAGCGGAAGATATAATAAACAGTGTAAAATATAGGTTGCACTTCTGTAAATATAGACCATGCAATTTCCCATAGGAACTCCTTATACGGCTAAAACTGTGCTACTTTTACAATGAAGTTTCGTTAAAAATCATATCCTGGAATGGAAAGTTCATATGCACTAATATTTTTTTCAAAGGTCAAAACATAGGGTTGTGCAGCATATTTTCAACATTTAAATGCCTTGAACTTCTAAGATTTTAAACTTATACTAAAATTCTTTACTACCCCTCCCTTTACTCTGAGTCTTCTTGAGAATTTAATTTGTCCGCTATCCAACAGTTTTTATACTGGTAAAATTCCCAAGTTGTGTCTCTATGAGATGAACATAGAGATCATATCTAGGATTTACCAATTTACTAGGATTTCATTCTATGCTATAGCTAGCACCCACAAGAAATTAGAAAGAAAAGTGACTTAATTAATAAAGTGCACAGCAGTTGCCAAAAAAACAGTGTTTATTACACCAGGGTTTTCGATATCACAAACTAGTCAAAACATTTACAAAATTTTATCATCGGTACAAGGACATCATTCGTAAATATAAATCAACATGCAGACATCTTATACGTTCAGGTATTTCACATCCAATATTTATGGTAATATTCTTTACAAAGCACAAAAATGTTGGCATTCACCTCAAAAGCTAACCAAACCTTTAAACAGACTTATTCGGAAAGGATATAGTTACGATACTGTGGTCAAGTCATTAAGGATTGCATATTTTGGTATTAATATTGATTCACTCATAGGGTCTTTGCATCGGAAATAAACACATTTATTCTAAAACCAGTTGTTGGCATGATACGGGTTATGTTCTTCTCATATATTTTATGATGGTATGATATTAAACCCCTAACGGGAAGGATTGTACTTGATTTTCATATGAGGAAGACATAATCTTTCAATCAGTTTAATTGAGGTCTGGAGCTGGCATGTCAGTAACTGCTAGTAGTCCTTTGTTCATTTATGTATCATTGTCATTTTGCTTAGTTTCTTTTGTTACCTGTTTTGACATCGGACTCGGACATCTTTAAACTGAGTTTTACTGTGCGTATTGCTGTGTGTTTCTTTATTCTACATTGGCTAGAGGTATAGGGGGAGGGTTGAGATCTCACAAAACATGTTTAACCCCGCCGCATTTTTGCGCCTGTCCCAAGTCAGGAGCCTCTGGCCTTTGTTAGTCTTTTATGTTTTTTAATTTTAGTTCATTTATATGTTTTTTAGTTAAGTGTGACGTCCATTTTCACTGAACTAGCACACAATTTTAGTTAGGGGCCAGCTGAGGACCACCTCCGGGTGCGGGATTTTCCCGCTGCATTGAAGAGCCATTGGTGGCCTTCGGCTGTTGTCTGCTCTTTGGTCGGGTTGTTGTCTCTTTGACATATTCCCCTTTTCCATTCCCAATTTTATTTGTTCAATGAATGTATACTGAAATAATTAATTTATACAATATTTTCACCATTCATTAGCTCACCTGACCCGACTGATTTCAACCAAAGTTCGGCCAAATAATCATAGGGTATCTAGTTTATAGTTTGTGCTTTATAATCATAGCTATGCTGCCTTGACTAAAATAGAACATAATAGTGAATTGTATTTATTGTAATATCTGGAAAACCATAATAGATAGAGAAAATCTGACGGAGCTAAATTGCGCATAATGTTAAGACCTACTTTATATTTTCACCAAAATTATTTTTACAAAAGTTATCGCCCTTCAGTGACAATATTTTACTAATTTTCGTTTAGTTTTATCTATCATCTCAAATATTTATAAAACATAGGTAGAAATTGTAAACAGTAAAAAATTATCAGTTATACACGATCTTCTAAAATAGAACTAACTTTACATATAGATTTGGTTTTATTTGGTAATCTAACGGAAACCGATACAAATCACATAAGAAACGCAATAATTCGGTTAACAAAATGCTATATTTATAGAAGCAAATTGTCATTGGAACAAACCAATAAAATAGGGCTAAACAATTATTAAAAAGTAAACTTATTAATTGAACAATATATATTTTATAAAATTAAAAGCCTCAGTAGGGCGGAGGACTGCTGGAACCCCTGGATTCCTTTGTCGTCATAACAACAAATATGAACAACAGGCACCATATGTTGTATAAATTAAAAATATGTATTGACTTTATAAGCAACCTTTGTCTTGCTATTATCGTCGTTATGTATCAAACTATTTTAGCTGTGTTTCTTATTAGTTTCTTAAAATAATTAATTTGATGGTTGTCTATAAAACCATTATATATCTTTTGCCTATGTCTAATATTATTCCTTATAAAAATTGTTAGATTGTGCACAAAATGTGTGTAACTATTATGTTCATGTGGAAATAAAAAGAAAATCATTATAATTTTTTGGTTTTTGGTCAATTATCTCCAGACCTTAAAATATTTAGATAGAAACTATAAACAGCAAACATCTGCAATACAAGATCTACAAAATTCCAATGTGACCGAAATCATAGGGTGACCCTCAATGATGAGTTTTTGTTTCACTATTTGTTGTGTTTTTAACAATTATTTCGAAAACTATGAAGAATCATAGACAGGTAGAAACTGTGAAAATTATCTTCAATACGAGATCTATACAAACGCCACTAACTACGATCTACAAATAAGCAAACACAACTGATTGCAATAAAGGTAAAAATAAATATGAAAATGGCATATATTGAACAGTTCAGCGATTCATGCTATTAGGACCCTCTTGATCAGTATGAATTTGACAAATGTGGTATAAAACTTAATTATACATCAACCCGACAACGCAAGTTGACATGAAGACAATTGCTAATGTCCTTAATCCGTTTTCACTCACTTACAGGGAATACGAACTTCAAATGTGAAGCGTTGACATAACAAGCCCTTCATCATGTTATAGTGAATCAAGTCGTATTCAGTGGTCAGTTTTATCTGTTGAAATTGAAATCCACACGTAAGGTTTTCAACACAACAACGGCAGGACGTAAGCAGGAGTGGACATTATCAACAAGTATCTCACGTCCAAGAGACTCTTCATTCGGTTGTGCAAAAGGGAAAATTTACAACTTATGGTTGAAACGTCTAAAATAGTAAATCTATAATTCTAAAGCAACTTATCTGCCGGATTCATATAGTTAATAGTATGCAGGTTGCTCTTGCATTAGCATATAATCTCTTACAAACATAAACATTTTGTTTGTTTATTTATTTGCGTTTATTTACAAATGCATTCAGTATACACTTTTGAAAATTAAATTCTCCCAACAATAGAATTTTCTAGAGTCTTGACGTCACAACTATTCATTATAGGTACCCAGTTCAGTTGTATTTTACCATTGTTTAGCTGCAAACTACACTCTTTTCTTTCAGATCCATCTGTATTCCTTGTTTTCAATTATTACTGTCAATTTAAAATATTGTGTGTTTTCCGATATCTAATGTTATAAGTGTTGTTTCCCTTTGCATAAACCGTATAGTTTATCAAGGGTCTTTCAGAAAATTAAATCTGCTGTAGTCATAACTTTCTATTTAAAGGGTCTTCTCCATGACCTTGTGCGGTTTACTTTTCTAGTGATTAAAACAAAAAAAACAGTAGTGCATACATATTAACTGTAAATTTTTATGCCCCACCTACGATAGTAGAGGGGCATAATGTTTTCCGGTCTGTGCGCCCGTTCGTCCGTCCGTCCGTCCGTTCGTCCGCCCGTCCGTCCGTTCGTCTGTCTGTCCCGCTTCAGGTTAAGGTAGTTTTTGATGAAGTTGTTACAGTAGTCCACTCAACTTGAAACTTAGTACACATGTTTTCAATGATATGATCTTTCTAATTTTAATGCCAAATTAGAGTTTTGACCCCAATTGCACGGTCAACTGAACATAGAAAATGATAGTGCGAGTATGTCGTGCGTGTACTATGGACACATTCTTGTTTACTTTTTACAATATATGAATAGAACAATTTGCAGAATATCTACAAATGCAACAATAATTCAATAATGCGTTACTTTTTGTGATAAAACTAATTTAATGTTTTATTAATGTGTAATTTTGTAAATGTAAATTATTTTTTTATTGTTTTTAATAGTCTGACTTAAGCTTAAATGAAGACGAATTGGGCAGATGCAAATAAGATTCAAACTTAAGATTATGTATTTTATATAGTGAGGAGATTTACAGTGAGGTCCTTAAGCAAAAGAAGAAAGTAACTAATCCTGATGCAGCTTCTAACACAGGAGATGCCAAAAAAACTCAGATACCAACAGATGGGTAATAATAGATAATGTTTATTGAACAAAACTGTAGGCATTGAACTTGATATGTACCAAACTACAAATACAGTTTAAGGTTTTCTTCATATCTTTACTTACACGTAGAAATTCAGTGATTGTTGGTTAAACTAAACCTTGCGTCAAAAGAGATGATTACAATTTTTCTATCACTATCGTGTTTGATGAAGTTCTGTTACCCTACATTTCTATAAGTGCTCACATCTCGTATATCCAAGAGAATTTGATATTAATGAATACCAATGAAAGAAGAAGGTCTGCTTCATATCTTGATCTATTCCTCGATATTGACACAGATGGACGACTTTAAACTAGAATCGACGACTTTAAACTAGAATCGACGACAAACGTGATAATTTCAACTTTCCATTTGTCCAGTTTCCATTTTACAGCAGTAACATGTCCTCTGCTCCATCGTATGGCATTTACATACCTCAGATAATATGTTGTGCTCCTGCCTATTCACATTATACGGACTTAATTAACAGCGGTGTGTTCCATACACAAAAGCTGCTCCAACAGAGTTATAAGGAAGAACGACTTAAATCGAAACTACATAGGTTTTACGGTCACCAGCACGTATTGGTTAACCGATACGATATGTCGGTGTCTCAACTCTTTAGGGACATGCTTTATTAGTCAGATCTATAGATACAAATATGATAGAAATGAACAAACGACAACCACTGAACTACAGGCGTCTGACTTGAGACAAACACATAAAGAATGTGGCGGGGTTAAACATGTTTGTGAGCGTTCTACCCGCCTCTTACCTGGAACTGTGATTTAACAAAACAACATAAGAACAAACTTAAGAGCAAGCAGGTTTGTTTGTTGGGTTCGTGTTGCTAAATATTCAATTGCTGGTAATTGTTTTGTTGACTGTTGTTCGTCTGATCGTCTCTCTTTGGTGATGCTATGTTAAGCTAACTTTCTTCGATTATGGTTATAATCACCTCCCTAGTTTCTTCAACATATTTTACCCATCAAAAGAACGCGCTCAGGCAACCATTTACTATTTGAACGAACTAAATTTATTCTTCACATTTATAAGGTAAAGTAAATGTTGTTAGGAAATCTGAAAACTTCCGAGATTTATATTTTGGGCTCGTCATACTGTACTAGTATTATAAAAAAAATTACAAACAAAAACAACTGACATTTCTACTGAAAAATAAGTATCCGTCTTTCTAATTTCTTTTATATATACATAATATTACTAGGAATGATTTAACTTTATGTAAAATGAATCTTTAGAGCAACTAAATTTCAAGTTTTTGAGGGTGTTTACGTTACTCAATTGTCACTTTGTTCAGTTTTGCAGCTTGTTGTTCTTCCTAAGAGTGATTATATCTGTCTGTCCTCGATTTTTTTAATACTTATCATCACCTCCCCTTTTCCCTTAAAACGTTTCAGCAGAATGTGCCGTCACTTAAGGGTTTGATACATGTGTAATATCTCTTCTTCAAAATTCAACATTTCCTCAGCTTTATTTATGAGTGCTTTTAGCCAATTATTCTTGCCTTTGTCGTTAATTGGTAGATAGTATTTATTTTACGCATTGAATATCGAAGATTAATTTAATTTACGAGTTCAATGAGACTGTTTTTCTGTGTGTAAGATAAACTTTAACCATCAACTCCTTTTTTTAAATTTATTTCAGGTCACCATTGTTATATGTGTTTCTTCTTAGTTTGAATGCATTAGGAATTTTAACTTTAAACTTTGCTCCATGAATACAATTGTCCATCAAAAAATGAAAAATTGGCAAATGGAACTTCAAACAACATCACAAAACTTAGTTTAAATTATATCGCTTTCTAATCTCTGTCGTATTCATTATTTCATGTTCAGTGGGGTATGTGACATAGGAGTCTGACATGTATATGAAAAACAAAAATTAAAAGGATACTGAAATAAATGGTAAAACGAATAAGTTAGAGTTTCGTTTTTACTCGGTTTGTATTTTCTTTTCAGGAAATCACCGTTTAACAGCTACTGTGAACCTTGCTTCAGAGGAAACAAAGAATCTGTTTCTTTCAGCTGGTGCTGTGATTGTGAGGAAACACTATGTTCTGTTTGTGATGAAACACACCGGATAAACAAAGTATCGATGTCACACACTGCAGTTGCTGTAGAAAAGCTATTATTAACTACTCCTATTACTGTATCTTCTTATGTTCTGTGCGAAATCCATCCAGAAATATCTATTGAATTTCATTGTCCTGAACACTGTCTTTTATGTTGTCGGAAGTGTATTCAAACAGTTCATCGTACTTGTGATATCGTCTCCATTGAAGATGTATCAAAAACGGCAAAGCAATCTGCATTGTTTGAAAAACTTTTTATCGATGTAAAGGAGTTATTCCACACCACTGAACAACTGAAAGAGCGTCATAGCAAAAATTTGGATGGAATAAATCAACAGGAAATGGAGATTACGAATAAAATAAAACAACTTAAAGTCGTCTTTGATAATCATTTTGAAAAACTTGAATCAAAATTAAAAAATGAAATGAAACAACTAAAACAGAGAGCTGTTTCCAGTCTTAATCAGAACGAGAATACTGTAGATAAACTATTTATGACTTTTGAAAAACATAATGCTAATTTGAAATTTGTCTCAGATCATGGTTCGAACAGACACGCCTTTATTCTTGCAAATATTCTAAAACCGGAGATTGAGAAGAAAGAAACAGAATTAAATGAACTTATAGCTTTAGAACGGACAATGGATATCGAATTAAAAACCAACGTTGATGCCCTCTATCTAGAAAATGCAATTAAAAGCCTTGGAACTATTGAAGTTTCGGAGACGTCAAAAGAATTTAAAAACATTCGGCCTTCAACTGCTCAGAGTATGAAGTCCAAAGAGAAAAAATAAGCATAAAAATTGAGAATGTAACTCCACATTAGCAAATCATAAATAAGCTGTCAGATTTTGATTTACAAAGTAAGCAAGTTACCCATTTACATATAAGAAAAGAGTCACATTATTATGAATACGCTTGGTTATGTTTTGAAATTATCCCTTTGATGTTTAAAACAGTCAGGAATATGTCTTACATCACTTTGGGTTTTCATGTGAGATTTACCCTTAACTAATATGAATAAAGAATAGAATACATATATGTTGTTATCTATTAATGAACTTCCATTCTCAATTTTATTTTATTACAAAATCGTGCTCTTTCATTGGCGATGAGATAACACAATAATTCTGTCCAATAAAGACTAAAATGTTGCAAAAATACCTGTGATAAAGATAGATTGCATATGTGTTGGTAAGAACCTTTGTATAGCAGTTTGTATTAATGCACAATTGCTGTTCTCTTGCAAGGTACAAATGGATAAATCAAAGTTATATTATTTTATTTTCGAATTATCAATTTAAGGATTATAATTTTATAATGCCATGTGCTAAAACTGGATTTCTCATCAAAATCCATGACATGTGACCTTAAAAGGTCAAAAGGAAGTTACTTTGGTTGAAAAAAAGGGAACACAATATGTTATGAATTGCATTCGTCCGAAGCGCTTTTCTGCATTTACCTTCATCAGGAACGCTTGAAATTGAAGTAATAAATTGGGTAAATTTTATTCTCTTGAGAGAACATTTATCGAAAAATTTCTTTGAACGATGATTTTTTTTTTAATCTGTTTAATTCATTCCATTAGATGTTATCGGGAGTGATGTTATTGAAAACTGTAGCTATTTTATCTCCTTATCTATTTAAAAAGATCTTGAAACGTATGCTTTACATGTACAAATTTAAAAATAGTGAAATGTACTACTCGGTGGCAGTAGAAGTGACACTGCTGATGCCAGAAGTTTCTATTGTCTTCGCAATGTTTATAGAAATGTACCTATCAGTCATAGCTTTGGAAATCAGAAAACAAATCCATGAAATAATTTACAACTTAAAGTTTTGGTAAAACTAAACTTAAATTGATAAGGATCATCATGATATAAATTCCTCGGCAATTGCATTAGATTGCAATCATGCTATGTTCTATTCAAATTAACTATCTTAAAAATTACAGCTGCAACCATTTTAATATTTGATTAATGATTTAAGGCTTTTTTTAAATGTAAAACTGTGAGTGTTATCCATTTTAGAATTTTTAAAATCTTATTGCTGGCCCCTAAAGTTTGAATTGGTTTCAAAATGATTTAAAGATGATTTTCAAACAAAAAGGAGATTAAAGCTCAACACATTTAATTGAAATTACAGTTATTAAATTTTTCAATATTCTCAACTGATTTCCCAAAATGTCTAGAAAAAAAACGGTGATTTTTTCCCAAACCAAATTTTCAGAGAAACGGTATATAAAAAAATTGTTCTGTGATGTTGATGAAATATTTTTTTGACCATTTTTTAGAATCATCCTAAAATAGAAAAAGTTGTGACAAAAACATTTGACCAAAATTGATTAAAATGTCGTTAAAAGAATACCTGTAAAAGTTTGAAATAATACGAATGGTATTTTTCTATGTACGAGTATTGAAAACAGTATAACAATCTTTCAAATGGAAATGAGATTTAGATCATTTAAAGTCGCTAAAAATGACGATGTTGTGAATATAAAAGGAAGTGCATTTTTATTTACAATGAAACAACAACCTGACGGACGACAAAATAAGCAAAATACATCTAGAGGGCATCATACAGTTTTCATAACCAGACGACATGGAATTACCATTCATTGTGTATAGAAATCTACCCGTAATACATAGTTTGAGGAATCGGTAACAACAGATGTTACTGTCTACAGACTTTTGGCATTTTCTATCTTTTCTAGAAAAGCATAAATAGACAAACCAAACCATAGTTGGCGATTTATCATAATGAGAATTTTATTTTGAACCAAAAGATGAAAATACACATTTATAGATAAACTGCTTCAGAAGCCCTTTACTTGATTTACCTTTATCATGGCTGCCTAAAACCAAAATATGGAAACCAGTGATGTATAAATACTTGAAAACATGAGGAGCTATATGTCCAAAAGGGACATTCACAGATAGAAAAATTCATCTTTAGTCAAATTTACTTGAGGAAGTTGTAACCTAGAATATTTCTCAATGCATCAAAAGAGAAATAATTTAAAAAGGTATGTTATAAATCCAGTAATTACCGCTGACTCCTAAGCTAACAATAATCTCAGAGACTGACAGCATCGACGCTGTGCAAGAAAATGAAAATAATACTTGATAAATTAAGTGCGTCTAGTATTCAGAATAGATGAAGTCATTTTTGAGCTGCGTTTTATAGAGGGGAAGTTTGTTTTCTACAGCCGTTTTGCCGTGTGTCCCTTGCATTGCCGATTTGTTCCTCAAATATAGAGTAGAGTGGTAGTTTATGGCTAGGTTTATCTTTACTCAAATTACGGTGATAATATATACATTTTTGAAAATACCTGTACAAATTTAGACAGCTGATTTTGTTTATTTATGCCAATTAAATTTATTCACATGAAAAAAAGATGCAAAAACCCATCAAAGATACCAGGCTTATAACTTGGTACGCCAGACGTGTGTTTCGTCTACATAATACTCATTTGTGATGCTCGAATCAAAACACCCAGTTGGAAAACCAAATCAAAAACGAAGTTGAAGAGAATTTAAAAACGAAAGTTCCGAAAAATTATGCCAAATGCGGCTTAGGCATTTTATTTCTTGGGAGTAGAAAAACCTAAATTGTTTCGAATTATTCAACAATTCATAAACGGTAAATTTACAGAATAAAATAATTTATCAATGATATTTCATGTCAACACAAAAGTGCAGATTCTGGGCTAGCTGTTGATACCCTCGGAGGATGAAACGTCCACCAGCAGTGACATCGACCCAGTGCGTTTTAAAACTAATCAAAGAAACCAGGCGAATAATTTGGTACGCTAGACAGGCGTTTCGTCTGCATAAGACTCAGCAATGACCCTCAAATCAAAACACGAAATTGAAGAGCATTTGAAATAGAAAATTACAAAAGTTATGTCAAATACGACTTAGACAATCAAGAAAGTTCGACTACATGAAAAACGAGGTATCACATTTGTGGAAAAAATATTTATCGATTTTCTTATGCATAATTTATATTAAATACAAAGTTGATAAACTGTTAGGGACTATCTTATTCTCTCTCTCATTTAACAACATCATATCAAATTCTTAAAGTAAATGGAAAATCTTTATAATGTGATTTCCTTTAAATCGATGCTGCAAAAAAGTCATACAATGAATTTTCTTTATGCATTTATTTTCGTATTTAATAATAAATGAGATTTCTTAGTTAACTTTTACATAAAACATCAACAGATACTTATTTTTTGGAGAAAATTACAGCATACCATTTTGAATTTGTTTATATCTTCACATGATAAATAACTGTATTTATTAAAGTTGAGCATACACCTTTTTCTATTTATGTAAACAAACACACGTGAGTGTGTGTCTTTATAGTGGTCATATATTGGCGTATATTAAATAAACAGTTTTGTGTTATAAATATATGATATTTCGGATTGGTCAATATTTGTGGCAGTGCGTAAATATATTCAGCATGATTTTTGATATGTTAATAGAAATGTTAGATAAATCTTTACAATTGACGATTGATAGTAGTGAGTCTAGAGTTGAGACATTTAAATAAGGGGTAATTTCAAAAGTATGAACTTCATAATTGATTTACTCGATGCATTAATAGCCTCTCTTTGGCTACCAATAAGTATAAATCTATTGTTTTAGCAAATACCGGTTTAACAAACAATTGTTAGCGAGGCATTAGCTACGAAATAGAAAAAAATTGAAATATGATTTTTTTTGTTCAATCATAAATAAAAGTGATATAGTGTAATACTAAGTCGCTTTTAGCAGCCAATTTGGTTCAATTGTGTCAAAATAAGATACGAAAAATCGCTGATGAATTATTCACTTGCAAGTGAATAATTCGACCTCATTCAATCCGTATTCATGTGATCTTTTAGTTTAACCCCTTCGCTTGAGATGGGTTACGCATGTATTCAGCTATTAAAAGGAACAGAATGTCATCATTGAAAGTGAAATAAGGATAAACTATTTAGTTTCGATCCACAAAAAAATCATTCTTGTACAGGTAAAAACGTTGATAAACATGCTTTTTAAACTACATCATGAAATCAAACAGACCTAGAAAAAATCCAATTGCATGTGGTCGCTATCTTTCTATATTTATATTCATGTTTATATCAGTTTGTATGACCGTCGGTAGTCTTCGGAGGTTATCTTGATAGTTAATTAGATGACGTCTAGACAAAAATACAAATGAAATGTTGATACATATTATCAAGTCCATGCATTGTTAATTGTTTATGTTATAAATCTATTATGAGAATTTGAGTTAAATCGGTAAAGATTAATTTGACAGCTAATGCCCCTTTAATGAAAGTCATTCCATAGTTTCTAAGTCAATTCAAAACATGATGTTTGGTTGATTTCTTGGTTGATTGTTTGACACAATGTTTTCAAATATCAAGTAATGGACAAGTTCTTTAAATTGATGGGTTGGTTTGGTTGATTGGTTGATTGATTGATAGAATGATTTATTGATTGTTTGTGTGAAGGCCAGTGACAAATATTTAACGAACATTTTTTATTCAGATAAACAGATTAAATGCTCCCCTTTTTCAAAAGAAAAACAAGACGTGGACCACTTGTTCTTAGAGACCAAACCCGGTTTATTTTTTAAATAGAATACGTGGTTCCCGGCCTGCATCTATATTTAGAAGAGAGGTCGTTTAAATAATGTGATTAAAGAATGTGCGTTTAATATTTGTCACTGTACGTTACAGTAACAATCAATCAATAATATGAAATATTTGTCTCTTTACGTTATCAAACTGTCAATCAATCAACCAATAATTCGTCCAATCAAGCAAACGAACCAAGCCAGACATGCAAAATTACAAACAATCAGTTAACCTATCTGCAACCATCAAAACCGACTAATCTCAATGAAAAACTTGTCACTTGATGTTAGGCAAAAATTTTATCAAACAACCAATTAACCTATACTCATGTTAGAAAAAATGGACAGACTTCACTCACAATGCTTTTATACTTATTTGGAACCAGTGATAAATAAGCCATTGCTGAGCCGAGTAAATCAATAACTAAATTAATTCTTTAAGCCTTTATTCAAATATCTCAACAGTTGACTATCGACTCTCAGTTTTCAATTCTTGTAAACATTTATTTAACATGTATATTATAGGCAATTTTGGAACGATGGACTTCAAACATTATGGAATATTATGCATTTAACAGAAAAACAGTACTTGAAGTTCAAAGGACGTACCAATGTGAAAAATGAACTAAGAACAAAGTTTCAGTTAGCGCAAAACAAAACTTTGACCGCAAGCTACACAAGTATAAAAGGCAATATAAGCAAAGTATGTGCACTGACATTGACAATATGAACACGAATAATCCAAATGATTTCTGGAACAAATCGAACAACTAGGGCCTCGTAGACATTCTTCTATTCCAATGGAAGTATATAACAAAGATGGTGAGATTGTTAGTGATGACAAGGTTGTATTAGAAAAATGGAAAACAGATTTTCAAAATATATAAAATATGGATAATTCAGAGGACGTTTAAATGGTTATTTTCAAATATGCCTTTAATTGTAAAGTTTTGTTAGAAAAAAGAATGTTCGATCCTTTGTTTATTGAAAATGAAGAGTTGAATTCAGTTATAACTATAGATGAAATTAGGCGACTTTTCTCAAGAACAAAAAAAACGGTAGATCGTGTGGAATTGACAGTATCCCTTATCAAGTCATGAAGAAAGAAAACGTTATCATCGTCCTACATTCTATGTTTTAACAAGTTTTCTTTCGACACAAGCATTGTACCATCATTATGGCATCAGGCCATAATCTGTCCGATTCTTAAAGACAAATCATCAGATATACGCATTCCACTACATTACCGAGGAATCAGTTTGTTGTCGTGTATATCAAAGTTGTACTTTGGATTTATATTAATCGATTGTCTTCATATCTAGAGAATAATGATTTACTCTCTGAGGAACAAAACGGCTTTCGTTAAAATCGTTCGTGTGAAGATCATGTAGTCACCCTCAACAGCATAATTAAAAACAATCCAAATTGTTATTGCCACATTCGTTGATCTAAAGAAGGCTTTTATTGTACAAACTGTTGCTGAACAATATTGATGGGAAAATATACAACTCTATTAAAAGTTTATATGTGCAAACAACTGCAAGTATTCGATTAAATAATAAAATGTGCGATTGTTTTTTTTTTGTAACTCTAGTGTAAAACAAGGTGATAATTTATCTTCGACATTCATTTTTTTATTTTTATTGATGATCTTGTAGATGAAATCAATGAATTTGGACTTGGTATAAATATTAGAGAATCAAAATTGTCTTTACTTTTAAATGTGGACGATATCTTTTTGATGACCGAGAATGAATATGATATGCAAAAAATGCTTGACAAATTACATGATTGATGCAAACAATGGAGAGTCTTAATCAATACAGACAAGTCAAAAGTTGTACATTTCAGAGCATCTCGTACAAAACGGAGTGAATTTCAGTTCAGAATCGGAGGAAATATGTTGCAAATTACAGACAAATATAAACCTTGGAGTTATTTTCAATGAATGAAAAGAATGTACGTCAAACGCTAAAAATCGTTCTATACCGCTGGTGGAAGAGAACTCGGAGCCATTATATCGAAGATAAACAGTTTAAAAGAATTTGGCTTAAAAACTTATACAAACTGTACTGTTCTTGTATTATGCATATATACTCGACTACTGTTCTTCAGTGTGGGGTTATAAATACTTTAATTGTGTCGGCACTCTTCAAAACAAGGCCATAAGATACTTTAAAGGAGTTCACAAGATTGCTCCAAAACTAGCTATCAACGGAGATGTTGAAGGGTTACCTTCAAAAGAACGTCGCTGGTGTAATATGGTAAGGTACTGGAACTGACTGATGGATATGGACAATACTAGACTTTGTAAAAGGTGTTCATATGGGACTACGAACTATGTATGAAGAATTGGTCATCTAGTGTAAAACCAATAATGTCTTTAGTTGGTATGGTTGATAACTTCAACAAATGCTAAAATGTGATGTTAACAGTGTCAGAAACAAGCTTATGGATATATGTGCAACAAAATGGCATACAAATTTATCTAACTTTCCGAAACTGCGTACATATAGAACCTTTAATTCTACATATTCAACAGAATCGTAGATTAAACTCAATTTAAAACGTAGTGAGAGATCGGTGCTGGCCCACTTTATAGATGTGGTATTCTCCCACTACGATTGGAAACAGGACGTTTTGTTGGTGAGCCAGAATACCAACGAATTTGCAGAATGTGTGACTCCGGACACGTTGAAAATGAACTACACTTTCTGGTTGAACGCAAATTTTACAGTTGTCTACGTAATCAATTATTCTCTGGACTTAGTGAAACCGCATTGCATTTGAATAACAGTGGAAACTTAAATTTATTATTGTCTGAGTATCGATATACTTAGAACAGTCATTAACAAAACGCGGACAAAACTTATATTTAAACAATTAACATGTATATAAAATTCCTGATGTCAATCTGAATTAATACTAGTATCTATTCAAAGTGACTTATAGGTCCATTGGGCAGGGTGTAATTAAATTGAAATATTTCAATATTGTACATATTTTTGTCACTATAATAAACATATTTGTATTGTACTACATTGTATAGGACTAGACTTTAAATGATAGTGATTGTCGAATATGTAGTAAAATTGCGGGCCATATGTATTTGCATGAATGGACTTCGGTTAATAACAATAACACGGAAGTGAAATGGCAACTGGTGGAACGGATTTAGAATCACAGAAGACTGAAATACGTGATCTTTTAAAAACACCTCTGAAGAAGGGTGATAGGTGGTAAGATGATGTTTTATTTACTATAATGCATTCTATATTTTGTTTTAACGATTCAAAACAACTTTTCTAGCATTTTCTATTTTGATTCCGCAGTGGTATATCCCACTGAAATTTTTATGTCCTAAATCTACATTAAATTATTGCAACATGGGTTATCACACGCCTATTTCGGTCATCGGAAGAATTGGTAGCAGTTTTAAGAAACGTTATAGAAGGTTGCGTTAAATTAAGGTATACATTTAATTTTTTATGAGACAATGCCTGTGGATTGTAAGCCTGGACTGCTTATATTGTAGACAAATCTAGTATTGACTCGAGTGTATAAAAATGAATCATAAAAAGCAGTGTAATCTATTTGTAAAATTATCATCTGGATACTTGTTATGTCAATTGTAATAAAAAATTCTTAAGTTTTTTCCGAATTTAGTATACATCTGAAACTATGCAAATCAATATATTTAAGGAAAGACTATACAAACCAAAGCAAACCATCAAAACTAGAATTTATTACATACAGTTTAACTTCAACCAAGTCTGTTCTCCAAGCTAACACTTCTTATATGTGCCGTTCAAAAACCGTAACCGATTTTTTTAATACATGCATACTTTTTAAGCTGATTTGATGTAAAAGTGATGATTGCTCTCATCTTCGTATACGCATGACATTCGACAGGTATCTTTTGGATACGAAATGGTTCAAGCAATGGAAACAGTACGTTAATTACGAAGCTTGGGATGCATTGATTGCTGGTCAACAAGAAGCACACCCAGGACCTATTGATAATTTACCATTGATAGACGGTTTGTATTTTATTTACGATCATTCGATAATTGTGGAGAATTGTTTTTCATTTGTAGATCTACAAAGTTCATTTGGTCATAACGTACGGGTAGATATGTATAGTTTCGTCACGAATATTTTCGATGCGAAGATTTTTTGAAAGGACCGTATTTTTTTCAACGGTACAGAAGATGAGTCTTAATCTTTAACATAAGGTGTTCGCGTCCGATCGCAGGGAAATAAACACGCCAACTTGTTATACGTTTGTAATATGAAAGTAGCTTAAACTGTATGTCATTTCCATCGTTTTGGCGGAAAGCAGTCGGTATTCTTTTATTAAGTTACACATATATGCATAACTGTTATGCCTTTTTATAACTGTTAATCTTTTTAACTTATATGCTTATGGCTTTGGTCTGGCTGTGGTTTAAGATCTGCGCATCTGGTGCAGGAAAAATGGTACCGTTAATGTTATTATATTCATATTTATATATGATTATCAAAATTATTGTGTCAATTATTAGAATCATTGTAATAAATTACTTTGGTCTTCATGGGCCCTTTAAATTGGAATAAAAATATCTTATTTTATCTTATAGGTCAACTAGACTTGGGAATCAAATTAGTAAACGTAACTTTATCAAAGTAGTTGTATGCAAAAATATTATACAGAAACCTATCTGGGGAATTCTGATTTCCAAAATATTTTATCGTATCATGAAACAAGAATGCATGTCACATTGATAAAGAAAACTGCAATCTAGTCTAAACCCGATTCTAAGTCAATAAATCATAAACTAAGATCATTAAACTTTGATGTAAACTTTTAAGCAATTATATTAAAGAAATGCAAATAGCTCAATGTGGTCTTATAAAGTCTTAATTCAGTTGTTCTTATTTAAAATGAATCCGGACATTGATTTGACAAAATACAAAAAATTAGTGTAAAATAGATGTACACAGGCAAATCTTACTCACGTGAACTTCACGTGAATCTCACACGAAATTCATGTGAAATTTATCTCAAACGAACTTGTACCTGTCCTAAGTCAGGAATCTGATGTTCAGTAGTTGTCGTTTGTTGATGTGGTTCATAAGTGTTTCTCGTTTCTCGTTTTTTATATAGATTAGACCGTTGGTTTTCCCGTTTGAATGGTTTTACACTAGTAATTTTTTGGGGCCCTTTATAGCTTACTGTTCGGTGTGAGCCAAGGCTCCGTGTTGAAGACCGTACTGTGACCTATAATGGTTTACTTTTATAAATTTTTACTTGGATGGAGAGTTGTCTCATTGGCACTCATACCACATCTTCTTATATCTATTGTACATGAAACTCACATGAAAAGTTTTATGTGAATTTCACTTGAATCTCACGTGAAATTTTTCACATGATTTTCACGTGAACTTTACAAACAAAAAAATTGGTATTTTTCATGAACTAAATTAAATGAACTAAATTAAATTTAAAAAAATAAATGTTATTTGAATACATGTGAAACGTACATTTACTGATTTCAGGTGAGCCTCACGTATTAGCTCGTTTGAGGTGGAATTTAATGTGAGATTCATACGAATTCAAATTCACGTGAAATTCATCTGAGTGAAATTCATCTGAGTGAAATTCTCCTGTGTATCCGATACTTAATGAATTTGAAAGGACAACAGTCATCAATGGTAAATAAACTGCCAGTCAAACCATACGTTGCAGTAGCCGAATACTCTCTTATAAGCTAATACATATCTATTCACAGAATAACTTTTTAGGTATTAGTCGGCCTCATAGTGTTTTCTTTATCATTTATACACTGAAATGGTAGTAATCTGTACAAGTTGAAACTCTTCTTGCGTGTTAAACTCACTTCATTAAAATTCAGCGGAAATTCTTCTTACAATATATCATCTGCATCATTTTATTTTTCTTATATTTGGTTCTCAAAGTATAGTGTTAGCTTTTATTTTATGATAAAATGTATGACTAACAATTGATATAACCTTCTTGGTTTTGATGATTTAAATATCTTTTCTACCGGTCTTCAAAGAGTGTTCATTTTGAACATACTTGATGTACAATATTTTAGAAACTCATTCCCAATTGTTCACATGTCATGCACTAGCTAAATGTGTAATACCACCATTGGGTTTCCCCTGTAAGTCTTTGTTAAATTTGCACTTTTCAAAAAATTGTGCAGAATTTATCTTTGTTTCAAATAAAGAAATACTTGGCATGAGTAAAGTTTAATTCTGTCCAGTACTATAGACAAAATTTCACATAACATTTCATTGCATATAAGACAATAACCATCACTGGAAGTTAACCAATCAAATTTTCACCCTTTTTTTCCCTGCGTACAAGCTTTAGTAAACATGTAACCTCAAGTATCATAAATATTCTATAGAAACACCAAATAAAATGTTGCTTTAAAACACCCAAGATATATGTTTATGACTCAGAAATTTTTTACTGCAATGAAATGTAGGATTAATTTCCTACAACTGTCAAATTCAAAGGAATATTATTTTTCGACCCTTTTACGTATGCTATGATTTGGTGGTATTACACCTAAAGTATGATTGGATCAGTTTGCTTCAAACGGTTCACTGTTGTTGGCGAAAATATGCTTCTTTTTTATTTTGAAAATGGGATTTGCTTTACAAGTGTTATGGAAATTTAATCTTCAAATCTTTAGGCATTTTTATATGCATGAGGATATCCTGCAGTAATCTTGTCTGCAAGACTTTAAACTAACTTCTGATTGGATGCTTCCCACAATATTCTGTTTTATTCTTATCTCAGTTTCAACATGCCGACGACGGGTGCATCATTGCTCCTGGCTCACCAGTTTATTTTAAAGTGTTTCGTCGTTTTTCAGATAGCACTGGAAGATTGAAGGAGCACCTAATCGATGAAGTAGATTATCAGCTGGTACCGCTCAATGCTTGGAATAAACTAGTCTCATGCTACGGACTAGTGGATGATCAGGTTATTATTTGTATCATTATGAGCTTATATGGATTCTTAAGATCGGTTGAAAATCAATTTAACCAACTGGATTTGTAAGAAGGCCAAGGTGGTTAAAATCTAAGGATCTAAAACCTTTTAATCTAGAATAAAAAAAAATTCCGCATATGTTGTAGTAGCAAATTCGTGTGTTGAATCATGATACTTCCACAATACATTTCCTATGATATCTATATCTGATGTAACACGTTTTAGAAAATATTATATTGATTGAAATCTGGTACGTCATTGCAAACATGCGTTTATAGGAACCAACTGAGAAATGTACACTACACAAGAAAGAGCCAACAGACCATCACCATCAATGAAAGGAAGGTTAAAAGTTGAGAAGGACAAGTTTAGTTTAGATCTTTAGATACCAGAACAGTCATTTATCTGTACATTTACCGATTGTATCGTGTTCCCTTTTGTTAAAATTTGACTAAGTGTGGATTCGCATTGCGGATGATGCATGCATAAAAAGAGATGCTTACCCCGTTGACGCAACCGGTATCGATCCGTTTAGTGTTTAACAATTGGTATACCCTAAATGGATTTACGAAATGTGAACTTTGGTAAACTGCTGTTTCCTCTTACATATAATGAATTTGGAAATTCTGTTATCAAGGTCTAAAATGACACTGCTCTCTATATTTGATTTAGTTAGAGGGAGTTTAGGTTGATAAATTTCATAAGTGTTGAATTGTTAATATTTGACTAATGAGTTTTGAATTTCCTCTAGGTATCTTCCGCCTATTTTTATCGTTTAAACATCTGCATGGTTAAAACTATCCGTAATGTGGTTTTATCCTAAACTGTTATAAATAAAAGTTAAGAGATAAATCTGTAAAAAGAAAGGCACAGTTAGCCCCAAGCTGAATACAAATCACATCATGGGATACTTTATCTCCAAAACGAACCTATATATTATCAAGCAAAATGTTAATGATTTATATACATATCAAATATAATCATGATAATTGAAAAATGAACTGTAAAGACTTTATTAGATATAGTTACAGCCAGATTTATGAAAAGATCACAGGTAAATTTTTGTTTAAAGGGGCATTAGATACGAAGTTTACAAACGAATCTAAATATGATTTATTTGGTTTCAAAAATTTATAAAAGCGTCATTGTAAAAAAAAAAAGAAGAAAAAAATCGCTATTAGCAGTCAGTTAAGTTCAATTTTGTCAAAATAAGCTAAAAAATATCGCTGATGTATTAATGGCTTGCAAGTCAATAGTTCAACTCATTCGTGCGAACTCCAATTCAACCCTAAATGGGAAAGAGCTACGCATGGGGTAAGCATGTTTAGTTATCAAAAGGACAAGAATGTCAACATTGAAAAAGGAAACAAGGCAGCCACCAGGAAGATCCCTTTCGTTGACTCATTTTGCCCACAAAAAATCATTCAAATACAAATAAAACGATTATCTACATATTTTTTAATCTATGACATGAAATCAAACAGACCTAGAAAAATCGTCATTTTTCGATTGCACGTGCTTGCCTGTTTTTTTTATATTTATAATTATGTTTATATCAGGTCATATGACTTACGGAATTCTTCGGAGATCATTTCGATGATTAATTAGATGGCGTCTATTCTAAAATACACACGAAATATTGATGCATTATTTAACGAAATCATGTATGGTAAATTGTTTCTTCAGGATATTTTGTTATTTGGATAGATGTTTAAGTATAAAATATTAGATTTTGAGTTGAATCGGTGACATGAATTTGACAGATAATGCCCCTTTAAGAAGTTTTTATGGTGGTATAGTATACAGTTTAGAGAAATCATAACCGTCAAGCGAGACATTCGAGCGTATTCAAGAGTTCTAAAGAGTTAAATACATTAATATTGATACTAAAATAATTTTTGTCACAATATTTCATATCGAGTCCCTTAACAGTTGTACAAGAGGAAGTCAGAAAAACTGACATGTGTAGTTGAGCATAAGCTGAATGCAATTTTAAAACGAGATATATGGTTTTTGATTGCATACCTTCTTCTATTTTTGTAAACATAACATTTCTGGAGAACACAAGAGTGTCTCTGTTAGTATTCAACATCCTAACATAGATACTCAATTAGTTTTTCTACTGGCTATTAAGACAAAGTGTAAATTTCATATAATTTTGGCATTCTTATTGTTCGTTACTGCTATGAATTGTACTTTAGAGATCCAATACACATGATAAAATTCCAATTGATTGGACAAGTACACATATACAGACTGCTGACACAATTTTTGACCGAGTTTTGTTTACTACATACACACATGCGTGTTTGGTTTCTCTCCACGATAACGTTCCAAAAATGTGTATTATTTTCTTTTCAACTTCTTATTTGATTTAGCTTCCAACTGTTTTGAATTGAGAGCCGAAGACGTGTCTTAAGACAGCAAAACGCGCGTCTGTTGTACTAAATTAAAAAAACCACCACCTTCAATGAATTTTTAGCATTAACATAAATAATTATTATATTTAATGAATGTCTTGTTTATCGTAGTTTTATTGGCTGACTGTGTGCACATTTATAGTATGAACCGCTTCATACATAATGTAATTTGATAAAGTTTGTACATATAATAAAAGTAGATAAAGAATATCTCAATTCTTATCAATAACTTTAAATGTCACAAAAAATACATTGACACTGACGTCATATATTGGTGGTATATAAAGTAGAAAACCAGTCTGAAAGTAAATATCGCCGTATATGTGGGAAACATCTCATTGCATAGGTTTTCACATAAAACAAACTGTATCAGTGAAAATTAACATAAATACAAAATGAAAGTATGACTTTGCACATTTAATAATTTTTAGATCAAACAAATATTTTAATGATGAAAATTTAGGTTCTGTTGAAATCTGAGACTTCACGTCAAACGTGTACAAATTATATAATGAAATTTCATAACAGGGAATAAACGAAACATCATAATCGAATAGAGAAGAAAAGATCATCCCTTTTGTCATAATCTTTGGTATAAAAACATTGTTACGGCCAGAAATAACCTTTAAATTGTAGTCAACAAAAGACAAAAATCAATAATAAAATTTAACATTATTTATTATAGACAAGTTTACAATAAATATTATAAAAATTGAAATGTCAACTTAACTGCTTAAATATATGTCCGATCCTTTGTCTTTTCTTTATCCGGAATTCTTCTCTTAACTGTACGGAATCCAATGGAATATATATGTCCAATAAGTTCACAATATAGTATGATGTTGGTCGTAAATAAAAGTGTCAATCCAACAACTCCAGAGAAATTCTGAGAATACACGTATATTTATGTCTGTCTGTCTAATTAAAATAAATATGATAATTACAATATCATAACAACATAGAGCAGAAACCATAGGAGATATAAAAAAACCGCACATTGAAGAAAACAGACAGCACCATGTCCGAAACGGGCCGACGCAAATACTTAAAGTGTACACAGAGAACCCAAGATTGAGTAACATGAACCCAACCAAAACCAAAGGTGAACTAAGGTGCATCGGAAGGGTCCAATTTCATCACCAGTCCTAGCATCTGCTAATGGAAAGTACTAATTTGGTGATATATGCCATCGCTAATGTCACAGTCGCGGCAAAGAGGACAGAGCTGTGGCTACGACAGGTGGATTATGTCCAGGGCTATGCGATACAGATATTTCATACTGGATAATCAAATCATGATCGCGTCCGTAAGGTTTTTGAAGGGATGAATTCGGCTTTACCATATACCATTTGATCAATAGTCTTTCTGTAAGCAGTAAGCCTCTAAAAAGCCAATCCTGATAGAAAGTACAAGTTCTGGATCATCGCTTCAAAGTGGAAATATATATTCTTTCAAAATATGCAGGTTCTGCTATAATGATGCTATAAACAAATTGAAAATTCACAATCGGAAGCAGAAATCGTCTGTTTTTCGTAAAATTCCTATTCGACCCTCATTGTCAATTTCTAGATGTTAGTCAATATAAGAAGCAGACTCTTCTGTATCTTTTATATTCTTTATGCAAAATTCGATTGGATTGATTCGCTTCCAAAAGACCAAGGAGGCAGTTCGATTGGATCAATGCGTTCATTACAGTCACCAAACTGTAGTGAGAGAACATCATCTATATTGTTGACTTGAAGCTAAAGGTTAATTATAGTTTATTTTCATTCTTCTCGAGAAGCTTCTTTTTGAAGTCTACCTCATATGAAAAGAGAAACAAATCGGCAAAAAGAAGAGCCCATTTGATATCCTTATGAACTTATGAATGTAGATTTGATACCATTATGAATGCCGATTGTCTGAAAGATAAACTATACAATCTTTTATATGTCTAGCTATAACTCTAGTGTGTTATAACGATCACTTATTAATTTTTCTCGTAATGCTATGTTTCATAAAGAGAAAGGAGAGGCAAAAGATACCAAAGATACATTCAAACGCATACGTCGAAATAAACTAAAGTTTATTCGTTTATGAGTGACGGGACTGTATGTGTAACAGTAAATTCAGTCCGGTAGTAAAATTTGTCCCCTGGACTTTTTTTACAAGGTAATCAAGTCCATGACCATAGTTTCCCTAGGAATGTAAGTAGTGGGAAGGGGGGAATCTGCGGCACTTTCAATTTTAAGGGGTTAGGGTTAAATTTCAAATAGGAGTAAGAGTTGAATTTTAAAGTAGTAATATAAAATTGAAAAAATAACTATAAAGACTTGAGTACTATAGTATTATATTATGATGGCTTCTTTTGATAATGACTTTATGAGTATTAGTGATTTGGAAGAGAAGGTACAAGAACAAAATGAAGAAACATTGAAATGGAAGAACCTTCCAAGTGGTGTATGGTATAAGCTTATTGAAGTTACAGAAGTAGATGGTAAATTTGGTAAAAGTAGAATACTTCTAATGAAAACAAGGAAAGGAGATAGTACAAGGGTGTGGGCATGTAGTGGGTTAAACAAAGAGAAGGAT